GAGGAATAGACCTGATGGTCTCCTTCCTCAGACCAAACCTAATTACCCCCAATCCCCCCTTCCCTATCCCATCCTCCCTACCCTCTCTTCCCTTTCCTCCTCCTCCCTGCCCCTCCCTTATTCCCTTCCTTTTTTTGGCCTGTAGGATTCTTCCTACAGGCATGCTCGTTCGTAGGTAGGGGGAAGGGTACCGGGGTCCATCCCATTCCATTGAGGTTCTTGGAGGTGGCGTAGTTTGCCGTGGAATCTGGATCGCCTGGGGATGTCCCGATCTATCTCCGGTATCCTGGGGGGAGGGTGGCTTTGGGTGTCTTTCAGGCGATGGGTATATCTCTAGAAGCCGCCTTTCGGATTCCGGGGGTGGTGGCCGAAGGAGGTATGTTTTGTGGCGGATATCCGGCCGTCCTCTCTTTTGTCCGTCGAGGTAGCTTGGCAGATGTGAGGTTGCTATACTGGATTGCTGGTATGCTGACATGAAGGGTAGGGTATGGCATGGGTTCCATGCTGCATCTGCGCTACTTGTGGTTCTGACGTCCTCTTGGGCGCGAGGGGGAATTTCCGGCAGTTTCATTCCTCCTCGCTCCCCCCTTTTTTTAATTTATTTATTTTTTATTTTTTTTCTTAAAAACAAAGACAAGAAGTAACCTAACCATGGAGATCCCAATCCATGAACCTCCTACCCCGGGGCCCTTCATGATACCGCACCCCATTCTGACCCTGCCTCAATTTTTGACCACTCTTTGGACACTCCTGATGCCTCTGTACCTCTTGCTGGTGCTGTTTCCTCACCTGCTTCAGGTACCGGGGCTTCGACTGACTCCTTCGATTTGTCTGACCTCTGCTCTCCTTTGACTATGCTTTCGGCCTCTCCCTCTACGTTGCGGCAATTTTCGAATCGCCAGCCCGTTTCACGGACCAACTTCGGTCCCACTCCTAAACGCCAACGACAATTGCCTGATGATGATAATACTTCACCACCTTCTCGTTCTTCTCAGAAAAGATCAACCCGTCATGCACTCCCTTTCATGCTCAGTTTTGGAATGCACAATGGACTAAATTCTTTACTTCATGACCGACATCCTCTAGTGCGTATCTTTCTGACCATAGTATTGGCAAGGTGCTCCTATGACATGTTGGTAGAGATATTTCCTTTTATGCTCTTAAGAGCGGTACGTGCATCATCACTGTCCAGAATGCTACTCAAGCTCATGATTTTTCTCTTTCGCATATCTATACTATTTCTTCGCATATCGATACTATTTCTGTCACTATCGAAAAACATCATTCCCTCAATTCTTGTAGTAGTACTGTCATTCTGCCCCATACCATAGTCCAACAGAATTTTCAGACATGTGGCAATGACATTCTTGAACAGCTGGAACTCCAAGATCTCCCAATCCTCAAGGTAGACACTTACGTCCTTCCTGCCCGCGGGCGGAGGCAATGTGGCTCGATTAACTTTTGACAGCCGTGAACTCCCATCCTCTGTTTATATAGCAGGACATCGGTTACAAGTTCGAAAGGTGGCCACTACACCACAACAGTGTAGAAATTGCTGGCAATTTGGTCACCCAGCAAAATATTGCAAATCTATACCTGGATGCCCAGTCTGTGGTGCCGATGACCATTCTAATACGTCTTGCAGTCAACCTCCCTCTTGCCTTAATTGTCACGAGGCTCGCCCATTATACTCTCGCTGTTAACAGGTCTGCTTAAATGAGTGTGAAATCCGTTGCCTCAAAGAAGCAGATCTCCCTTATGCTATGGCAGTTTCTCATCTCCACCTCCAAGGGAGACTACCCCGTGTTTCTTATTCACGTGTTTCCAAATGTCCCCCCACTTCTGGGGTCCCATCTTCTGCAGCCTCCTCTGTGGTTACCCCTCCCATAGCCACTCCTGTATCTAACTCTTCTGCTTTCCTGGGCTCAGACGTCCCTACTACAACACCTCAGTCTGTTCTCACATCTTCACATCCTTCCTCGCAAGCCCCAGTATCGACAAGACCTCGTACGACACCTACCAATCGCCCCTCTACTTCTCAGAAGTCCAAAAAATCCCCATTGCTCAAATCTTCTTTGCCCCCCTCCTTCCCTTCTTCCACCTCCGCATTTTACCTTTCCAGTCTCTGTTCCTAGTTCTTTCCCTCTCACTGGCTCTATTACAAGTGTGGAGGTTCACCCTCCTCCTCGTACTGTGCCTTCCACCCCTGTCCCCTCCCAAATTTCTCCCTCGTCTGCCACCTCCCAGGTTTCTGCCTCTTCTGTCCCCTCCCACACTTATTCTCCAGTCCCCTACACTCTTTCGTCCCCCCCCTGCTTTGGCACAGTCCATTACTGTCCCAATCTTTACTCACCCTCCTCCTACCTCCAATATTGTCTCCCATACGTCTTTGAATTCAGAAACACTTGAAGCCATTTCAGAATATATTGCCTTGAATTTTCCATCCAAAATTTGGTCATTCCTTTATGTTGATGACTTCACTATTGCTTGTGCAGGCACTGACTGTCACCTCATTACAGTTTCTCTCCAGCATGCGGTTGACCGTGTTTCCAATTGGGCCACCACACATGGGTTTAAATTTTCCAGTACCAAAACTTGCCAAATTACTTTCACTAGACGCTCTGCCATCTCCGATCATCCTTTGTACCTCTATGGCTCCCGTATCCCTGAACGTGATAGTCAGGTTTCTAGGCCTTCTCTTTGACCATAGGTTATCCTGGAAACCTCGCATTACCTCTCTGAAGGCAACTTGTCACAGCCGGCTGAACCTTCTTAAAACCCTTGCTCATCTTTCATGGGGAGCTGATCATCAAACTCTCCTTTGCCTACATTCAGCCCTTATTTTATCGAAACTCAGTTATGGTGACTAGATCTATTCAGCGGCCTCTCCTGCTACTCTCTCCAGCCTTAACCCCATCCATCACCAAGGATTACGTTTATGCCTTGGTGCTTTTCCCTCTTTCCCTGTTGAGAGCCTCTATACAGAAGCGAATGATCTGTCCTTGTCTGATCGCCGTGATGCCCATTGCCTTCGTTACTATGTACGCTCTTATGATCTCCACAATCCTTCCATTTATAGAATGGTCACTGATATTAGTAGACATTATCTGTTCGCTGTCCCTGTTTGCTCCGTCCCTTCTCTCTTCGCCTACATTCGATCTTGTCTTCCCTTCAGTTACCACCTTTCTATGTTCATGTAGCATCTCACTCCCCCCCCCCCCCCCCCCCCCGGGAAGTTCCAGCTTTTCGAGTCTGTTCTTTCTCCGCCCCTTGCTCGAAAGCCCAACTGCTTACAGTAGCTTCCCGCTCTATTTTGCTTGGCCACTTCCACTCTCATTCTCATGCCATTGCAGTGTACACAGATGGCTCTAAGTCTTCTGACGGTGTAGGATTCGCAGCACTGTTTCCGGACAGTGTCATGCGAGGGCATTTACTATCTTCGGCTAGCATTTTTACTGCTGAATTGTATGCCATTCTTGCAGCACTTATCCGTATTGCATCTATGCCTGTCCTTTGTGGTTGTCAGACTCCCTCAGTGCTCTACAGGCTATACGAAAATTTTTTACACATCAACTCCTAGTTCTCCTTACCCAACTTTGGCTACGCTGCATCTCTATCAAGCATAAAGATATTGTTTTTTGTTGGGTCCCTGGTCATGTTGACGTACAGGGCAATGAACAGGCAGACACTGCTGCGCGGTCAGCAGTACATGACCTACCAGTTTCACATAGGTGTTCCATTTACGGACTATTTTGCTGTAATAGCTACCCACCTACACACCCGTTGGCAAGAACGTTGGTCTAATCTGCTTGGTAACAAACTTCAGTCTATTAAACCGAGTATAGGTAACTGGCCGTCTTCTTGTCATCAGTGTCGAGGTTGGGAGACTACTCTCTCCCGTCCTCGCATTGGCCACACTTGTCTTACTCATGGGTATCTCATGGAGAGGCGCCCTGTTCCTCTCTGTGAGAAGTGTCAGGTTCCAGTACGGTTAGCCGCATTCTGTTAGACTGCCCTCTATCAACGAGCACACAGAATTTACCTCCAACGTCGTCTGTTACTACTTTCTCTTTATCTTCCCTTCTTGCTGATGGACCCTCCTTTAATCCTGACTCTCTCATTGACTTCTTGACAACGACTGATTTACTCCATAAACTCTGATGATACCTTTCGCACTCCCCTCAGCCCTTTCTACCTCAATCTTTTGCTGCCCTCTATCCTTTCACTATCCACTGCCCCGCTGTTCTCCACAACCTACTACTCATCCCACTCCCTTTTGCCACCTGATGCCCTCGCTTCCTTTCTGCCCTGCAGCGCTGTATAGCCCTTGTGGTTTATCGCTTCTTTTTGATTATAATAATTGTCACTAACAGAAAAATTCGCAAAAGTGTAATTTCATCAATTTTCCATCAAATTTTGTACTTTGTTTTATTACCCTCAAAGATTATGTACCATTTCATAAGAAAATTCTTGGACATTGTGGACACTTGAGATCAGGGGTCTCGACACTCGTGGGGTTAATGATTTAAGGCGATTGGTCGTAGTAGATCCCCAAGCACAAATACCATAGGTGAGGTCAGGGTAGGGCATTATGTAAGCCCTCTGGGTTGATGTTTTCCCATGAATACAGCCTCTCCTCACTTAGCGACGTACTCGTTTACCGACACCTTGGACTTGTGACGGGCTCTGACCAGTATTTATACCTAAATAATGTATATTAGAGCTGAGTTCGTCTATTTTGTTTATTTCAATATACAGTACACTACTGGATAAAGATTTGAAAATATATCAGAAATGTTATAAGTGGTGCAAGGTGACATTAAAAGAATATCAAAGATGGTTGACACACATCCACTTCCATTCTAGTATGCTCCTTACTTAGCAATGAATTCGTTTAACGACGTGGTCTTAGGAATAGAACGTCATTGTTATAGAGAAGAGGCTGTATAGTAACTTAGTTTATTCAAGTATACACAAATAATGCTTATTTGTTTTTTCAGTTCCCCCAGGAGGCCGACCCTACTAGACAACCCATCCAGACACCGGAATTGCCTCAGACATTATGGTGGCACACACTACATTCATCTTTTCCGACTCATATGAGATTCTTCAGTTATAAAGAATAAATTATCTAGTTCAATCTGTTTATCCTAAAAGAGGTAGTGTATTTTCTTCTCACCTTCATCCCTGTGTATTTTGGAAGAAAGTTTTAATATAAATACAGTTATATACATTGTTGTATTTAATTACTGTATGCAGTTCAGGGTTATTAGTGGTGATTAAGACAAGTACCTTTTAGATTTATACTTGTGTATATTTATTGTATTCATGAAGGATATTGCCAGATTAATGTACCATTAATACAAACCCTTGTACTCTGTCCTAATTTGTAATTGTCAAATTTTTTTAAAATAAAAATATAAAATACTTGTTCTGTTCTTCTTTCAACAAACTGACCGTATCCCACCAAGGTAGGGTGACCCAAAAAGAAAACCAAAGTTTCTCTTTTTAACTTGAGTAATGTATACAGGAGAAGGGGTTACTAGCCCCTTGCTCCCGGCATTTTAGTCGTCTCTTAGGACACGCATGGCTTATGGAGGAAGCATTCTGTTCGACTTCTCGATGGAGAAGTTGTTCTGCTATTCTCATAATTCATTTAGTATAGAGCATTTTGTCAGTACTGGTTTAACATGTTTTTGGATGCAATGATCCATTAAACTTTGTGTCAAATTTGACCTTGCTGATAACCCAACTTTGACACAAGATTCCCTTTGATTTTTTTGACAGCACAGATTTATTACACCAACTTTGATTATACTTCCTTTAGCACTGCTCCCCTCAAGGGAGGTTCCTTGATGCTGGTAAGGGGCTCTTGATCTAGGGAATTGGATCTATGCTCTGGTTCCCTGAATTGAGTCTGAATACCTTCCATCCTCCCCACATGCGCCGTATAATCCTACGGGTTTAGCGCTCCTCCATGATTATAATAATTTAGCACTTCACCACCCATACTAATTCTACTTCTGTTATCCTCTCCATCCACCCTCAGTAGTCACTAATCAGGCAAGCACACCCTGCCCTGCAGCACTTTGACCCTTGTGGGTTTAGTACTTGGTTTTAATAATCCTCTTTATCTCGTCAGACCCTGCAGTGCTGTGTGACTTGTGGGTTTAGTGCTTAGTTTTAATTTTAATTGCATTAAAGATAGTTTAAATGTGCTGTAGGGATGTATAGTGGTAATTGTCTACAGTGCACTTTGATGATGCAAATGGTCTAATAAGCGATGATACTTTGTAAATAGCTGAAATTTACCTGTCTTCGTAAAAGCAACATTATGACTCCCATATAGGTTTAGTACTTTTATTATTGCATTATTTACTTCACACAGGCAGGATAATTTATAATTGAATGTGCCAAGTTTGGAGGGATATGTTGTGTATCTCTATACGTATATGCTTCTAAACTGTTATATTCTGAGCACCTCTGCAAAAGCAGTGATAATGTGTGAGTGTGGTGAAAGTGTTGATGATGAAAGTATTTTCTTTTTGGGGATTTTCTTTCTTTTTTTTGGGTCGCCCTGCCTCGGTGGGAGACGACCGACTTGTTGAAAAAAAAAAAAAAAAAAAAGTGTAACTTTCCTACTGGATCAGTTCCCATGCCTTAGCACTCCTCACTGCCCTTACAAACTCTACCTACATTATACTCTCCACTTTTTCTAGTTTCAGATGAAGCATATGACACAGTGGATGCACTTTACCCTGCAGTGCTGTATGACCCTGATGGGTCATTCAGCACTGCAGGGTAAAGTGCTTAGTTTGGATTTTAATAATTCTATCAGTAAAAGAAAGTTTGCCACTGTGCTAGCAGGATAGTTAGTCTTAGATCCTTGAACATATGAATATTAAAAGTAAAGAGGGAGCCACTTTACGAGAAGTTTGCGGTAAAATGATTAAATGGCTTTGACTCAAGATTTAATAACTAATATGGTATTTGATAAAGAAAAAAGGCAATACTTTGACTGGAACGATACACAACCCGAAACGTTGTCGTAAGCTCGTCTCTTCTATGTGCGGGTTATTTGTGTATGGTATCTGATTTTTGCTGGGGTAATGTGCTGTACTGAGTAACACTTCAAAATAATCATGGTACTACGACTCCTACAGGTTTGAACCCCGTGTATATAGTTAATTTTATGTTGGATGATTAAGATGTGGGTTGTAATCAAGTGCTAACCTGCTCTGGGTATTTAAGAACATCACAAAAATTGTCAGTGTCTGTAGTTATGCTCCCTCATTATGGCCCCACCTTTGACACACTGACTTAGTCAGCAACAGTTTGATTACACCAACTTTGATTATACTTTCTCTAGCACTCCTCTCTACCCTTACTAATTCTACCTCTTGTTCCCCTCAAGGAAGCTTCCTTGATGTTGGTGAGGGGCTCTTGATTTAGGGAATTGGATCTGAGCTCCAGTTCCCCGAATTAAGCCTGAATGCCTTCCACATCCCCCCCCCCCCAGGCGCTGTATAATCCTCCGGGTTTAGCGCTTCCCCCTTGATTATAATAATAATCTACCTCTTGTTATACTCTTCAGCTGCTGAGATTTTTTTTTTTTTTTACAGTGGTTGCTGTGGTTCAGTCCCCCAGTGAGGTACCTTATCTAGGGATTTGATCTATGCTCCATTTCACTGAATTGAGCCTTGCCTTTCTCCTCCCCTTTTCACAGGTGCTGTATAATCTGTATGGGTTTAGTGCTCTTCTTTGTTGGGTATGTGAGGGCCACTGACAGCATACGCTGTATCGAGCCCAATTTCTCGATGGTACGAGAAAAAATTGTTGCTCAAGGCTGGGTGATGAGAGACAAGGAACAAAAGTTCCTTTGTAAATAGAGATAGAAACTTGAAGTTTCCAATTATATCGGGTGGACCCCCTTGCCAAGCCCCAGCAGAGAGGGACGCCTACACTCCCACCTGAGTTCAGTAACCGGCTTCCCACCAAAGACCGCTAAAGAATTTTCCGCAGAGTGGAATAAAATGGAGCTGGCTAAAGTAAGCCGATGAACAGGTGCCCCTCCTGTAGAGTGCCCGGCGGGCAAAATAGACGAGGACAAGCATCCTAGTGAGAACGGGGGAAATTTGTCACTGATACTTAAGCGATAGAGAGACGTCCACACCCGACGAAGGCTGGCGCAGAAGTTCGGGTTTAGTGCTCCTCCATGATATGGTTTAGTTCATTTAGCTCTGTGACTAAATCTTGTTGCATTCCTCTTATTTTTAGTTTATTTACTTGCCTTTATTAGTGAGGGTTTTGTGCTTGTGCTGCATTCTTCTGGATAGACCTAATGTCATGTATAGAGCCATGGATATTTGTAGTAGTTATGGTGAATATTCCATCATTATGATGGAATATTTGTGGAAGTTATGGTGAATATTGCTGTATAGTCCTTGTGGCTTAGCGCTTCTTTTTGATTATAATAATAATATGGTGAATATTCCATCATTATGATGGAATATTTGTGGAAGTTATGGTGAATATTCCATCATTATGATGGAATATTTGTGGAAGTTATGGTGAATATTCCATCATTATGATGGAATATTTGTGGAAGTTATGGTGAATATTCCATCATTATGATGGAATATTTGTGGAAGTTATGGTGAATATTCCATCATTATGATGGAATATTTGTGGAAGTTATGGTGAATATTCCATCATTATGATGGGCACAAAGTTAATTGGTGATTTACTCCTTGAAATATGAATGGCTGTAGTTTTTGCTGGCTCTTGGTTTTTGCTGGCTCTTGGTTTTTGCTGGCTCTTGGTTTTTGCTGGCTCTTGGTTTTTGCTGGCTCTTGGTTTTTGCTGGCTCTTGGTTTAGTGGCTTTGGGAGTAGGAACCTTGGTAATGGATGCATCACCCAAGAGAAGCAGGTTTGTTAATGACTATTTTAAGCTTTGCTAAGGCTTAGCCAGTGAAGAGCTTAGTATTGATGTCTGATAAGGTTCTTGATGCCAGATGATGGCTTTTATGATGCATTTTCATTCCAGTTTGGATCTTGATGTGTGGCTGATGATTCTTGTTGTTTTGCAGTGTTTTGGGTCATTTGTGTATTTGTAGGCTGATGATTATAGGGACAAGTATAAACTCATCCCTACAGGCTAGTATGGCCAACAGCCTCACTTCTTTGGACATCAACATGTCTTGGCATCCAGTTGAGAGTAGTTTGGCTTCCTTATACATCTTGGACTTGCAAAATGGAAAGTCTTGTGTTGGAGACTGTATGGCCCTTGTGGGCTTAACACTTTATTTCAATTATAATACAGTGGACTCCCAACTTACGATATTAATTCGTTCCAGAACGCTGTTCGGGTGCCGTTACCAGACGAATTTGCTCCCATTAAGAATATTGTAAATTAGATTAGTCTGTTTTGGACCCCCAAAAATGCACTTACGAAAATACACTTGCATGATTGTTCAAGTTGGGAGCTGTTCGTAAGTTGGAGGTCCACTGTAATAATAATGAACAGCTTAGTAATCTCTGTGAAGGCTGTGTTACGACCTGCTCTATGCCGCGACCCCTCAAGGAAGGTTCCTTGATGTTGGTGAGGGGCTCTTGATTTAGGGAATTGGATCTGTGCTCCAGTTCCCCGAATTAAGTCTGAATGCCTTCCACATTCCATCCCCCCCCCAGGCGCTGTATAATCCTCCGGGTTTAGCGCTTCCCCTTGATTATAATAATAATAATAATAATGCTCTATGCCGCAACAATAGGGGGAATAAAGACTTAGTTTTGCTTTTGGTTAGTTTTATTTACTACAAATTATGAACCTTTATTGGTATCCAGTTAGTGAATTAAAATAATTCACTATTATCAATGAAATGAGACTGTACAATGAGGAACGTAATTCTATGTTCAAATCCCCATGAATCGAGTATAATACAATAATTACAATGAAGAGTCCAAATAAGAATTAACATTAAAATGGTATAAAATACCGACAGATTGTTAGGTAAGACACATATGCAACAGTTAGGTATCTTTATTTCGAAACGTTTCGCCTACACAGTAGGCTTCTTCAGTCGAGTACAGAAAAGTTGATAGAAGTAGAAGATACTTGAAGACGATGTAATCAGTCCATCACCCTTAAAGTTTTGAGGTGGTCAGTCCCTCAGTCTGGAGAAGAGCATTGTTCCGTTGTCTGAAACAATATGAAGTTGAAGTGACAGAATGGGGCCTTATATAGTGCCAGGAGGTGAGACGTAGGTTGCTTTGGGAGGGCAGGTCCCTCTCAGACAACGGAACAATGCTCTTCTCCAGACTGAGGGACTGACCACCTCAAAACTTTAAGGGTGATGGACTGATTACATCGTCTTCAAGTATCTTCTACTTCTATCAACTTTTCTGTACTCGACTGAAGAAGCCTACTGT